TTGATCCTGAAAAAATAAGAACAGAAATTTTAGTTACAAGAAGTATATATGTGTCAGCGCTTGCATACTGTACTAATTCTATAAAATACAAAACTTATTCGGGCTTAATTGCTCTTCACTTCGTTTCGAAGGCTTTCCACTTCGCAATGTCCACCTTCTTGAATAAACTGGGGTGCGTCCCGTCGACGAACCTACTCCTCCTCGCCTCCGCGGTAAAGGGAGAAATGACGTACTGTGATGGGACCATCGGCCTCTTACCAACCACTAGCTCTGATACATCAACATCACGCGTCCTCTTCTCTTCCGATTCGGGGATCTCTATCTCCCCGGCCATCGGGACCACCCCCTTGCTCACTATTGGGACCATCTCCTCAAACATAAAGACTATTCCGGCGTGTCTGGCGTCCTCTCAGGTACCACCTCCACCTCCGGTACCCTCTCCTCCTCCAGTACCCCCCGGCATCCCCGGTTATCCCCTACAGGGGCACCTCCACCTCCTCGGGTATCCCCTCTACCTCGGGTGACGTCCTCTCGGGTACCACTTCCACCTCTGGTACCACCTCCACCTCTGGTACGCTCTTCTCCTTCTGTACTCCCCGGCATCCCCCGGTATCCCTTACAGGGGCACCCCCACCTCCTCGGGTATCCTCTCTACCAAGGGTGATGTTCCTCTCGGGTACCACCTCTACCTTCAATACCCTCTCCTCCTCCGGTACCCCTTCGGCATCCTCGAGTACCCTCTCCTCCTCCGATATCCCCTCCGTCTCCTCCGTCCCCATCCTGTCATTTAAAAATGAATCGAATGCAGCAGCCGATGGCCACAATAAGTCAACATACCCCATCTGATCCCTTTCCCCTGACAATCACCGACCTCTCCGTCATGATAGCCACCAACCTCTCCGTCAACCCCCTCTGTCCCGGTACCGACCTGTCCTTCCGCCATTTCCTCCATCCCCATAATTGCCCATCCCATGCAGACATGCTATGTCGCCACGTATCACTAGCATGAAGGTTTCCTAACTCAGCTCGTAAAATCGCTACATTATATCGTAACTCTGCCAAATCTCCTAACCCGGTGCACAGCGTCGCGACATCATCTCGTAACTCTGCCATATCTCTTCTCATCTTCGTCAGGAATTCAAACAAATCAATTATAGAAGCACGGTGACTAGGTGTAGGAGGTGATACTGGACGCCCTTTCTAAAAAAATAACTATTACAAATGAATAATTTAACACAAAAATTGAAAGACAATCGACAAATTATTTTTAAGTAACGTACTCTATCTCGATTGACGCTGGACTCAGGTATCTGAATCTCTGGCGTAGCAGGATGTGATCTTCTCGACGGAGATGATATCCTTGCCGGACGTGATCTCCTCGGTGGAGATGACATCCTCGGCGGAGGTAATACTGAACGACTCTCCTGAAAAAAAATATTACAAGTGAAGCACTTAAATACAAGATTAAAACGATATTCAACATATCCTGCACAGTAACATTCCCTGTCTCGATCCATTCTGGACTCGGGCATCTGATCGTCATGCGCAGTTGGAACAGACAATTCTCAAATATAAAGCTGACTCTCCTCCTCGATCGACGATGCCAACTCAGTGAGAACTTCAAGCTGACATTTTGACATTTCACAGTTAATAACTATGTATTGAGATTGTAAAAGGACATACAACATAAACGGCAAATGTATAATACGTACATCAGGATCGTCGAGAACAGTCGATAACTGTCTGGCAAGTGGCTTGTCTTGTGTTCGCAGTAATGCATCTGATGGCAGTGTGTCTCCCCTCTCCTCGTATACCGACTGGCCAAGATGGGAACAGTCTCGTACACCCATATCTGTACCAATTACAATTATTTAATGCATAGAATTCAAGGAAAAAAGCATAGGTAATTCATTAACTTAAACATATACTTGCAGCGCCAACGGCAATCCATGTACATCGTACTTGCGCTTGGGCTTATCCCCCTTAGGGATTGAAAACCGAACACGCGTAATGTATCTAGAAAACATATCCGGCTCCATGGGTAGTTGTTGAAGGCATCAATATCATCAAGAACCTCCAAATGAAAAATGTCAATCGATGTTTTCTTGTGATGACACCGGAGTACGCTCTAGATGATAAGCACCAAGCGCAACTTCAACATATCAGACATCTGATCACATCTCCTTAATGCATCTCCCAACTGCGCTAGAGTAACTGTCGTCTGCACATGAAAATATTCATTCAACAGTCTCCTGTTCCTCGGAACACGGGCCCTCGCCTCTTCTTCGTCCGTACACCGCAGTTCAGTAACGAAGGCAAACTCAAATATGGAGAACGACGCCACCTTGCCCCTAAGATCAAAATGGAAGGCGTCTCCGTCAACTGGCTTCAACAATCGACAAAGCAGGGCATTTTACAGCTGCCCAGACCACTGTACACCACGCAACAAATACAATGGCCATAAGCATAATCGACATAACATGTCCGCGTAATACCAAAGTGAAACTGGTAAAGTTACAATTCGACCTAACTTTACCAGGATCTATCTAATAGCGTCGTCCAGATGATATTCTATCCTGTAAAATTTCAAATATTAGAATCCCGTGCAAATGATGTTCGATAAACCAGAATTTTTGTTGATATGTAATTGATAAACAAATATATTACAAAAAGAAACTAATACACTACTACTATATGCAATAACCAACCAATAACGAAATAAAGGAAATGAACGTAAATTGCTATTTTCCGTATACTTAATTTGCTAATTTGATTGATATTTTAATTTTCGAATTTAATTGCTTATTTTTATTATTTTGTAAATGTTTAAATATCTATTTAAATTCTTTATGTATATTAATTATTCAATATTTAATTATTTTACTAAAACTTATTTTGATCGTTTATTTTAATATTTTAATTGCTTAATTTAATTATTTTCCTAAAACTTATTTTAATTATTTATTTTTAATTGATGTTTAAATACTTATTTTAATTCTTTTATGCATATTGCTTATTTCATATTTACAAATTTATTTTAATTGCTTTGCAAAAAATTAATTTGATTGATATTTTAATTTTCTAATTTAATTGCTTATTTTTATTATTTTACAAATGTTTAAATATTTATTTAAATACTTTATGTATATTAATTATTTAATATTTAATTATTTTACTAACACTTATTTTGATCGTTTATTTTAATTGCTTACTTTAATTATTTTCCTAACACTTAAGTTAATTTTTTTAATTAATGTTTAAATACTTATTTTAATTCTTTATGTATATTGCTTATTTCATAATTACAAATTTATTTTAATTGCTTTGCAAAAAATTAATTTGATTAGTATTTTAATTTCCTAATTTAATTGCTTATTTTTATTATTGTACAAATGTTTAAATATTTATTTAAATTCTTTATGTATATTAATTATTTAATATACAATTATTTTACCAACACTTATTTTGATCGTTTATTTTAATATTTTAATTGCTTACTTTAATTATTTTACTAACACTTCATTTAATTTTTTATTTTTAATTAATGTTTAAATACTTATTTTAATTATTTATGCATATTGCTTATTTCATATTTACAAATTTATTTTAATTTCTTTGCAAAAAATTAATTTGATTTATATTTTAATTTCCAAATTTAATTGCTTATTTTTATTATTTTACAAATGTTTAAATATATTTTTTAAATTCTTTATGTATATTACTTGTTTAATATTTAATTATTTTACTATTACTTAACATAAAATAAGTAATTAAACTAAATTAGCAAATAATAAACATTTATATTAAGTATTTCAAAGAAATAATTTTAAATACATAATATACATTAAAATTAAACAATTCAAATAAATAATTAAATATTAGACAACACAAT